TGGTCGGAAGATGGTACAATGGGCAAAGAAAATCTTACCGGATTTCAAGCCAGCTCCGGTAAAAAGAAACAAAAATGCCCCGAAAAGGCAGAGGTCGGCAGAAGATACGCCGCCACAACCAGCGAAGCGAACATGGCCTCCGCAGACTCTGCATCGAACCTTCGCAGAAGCGGCATAGGATAAGATCCTCATTGGTGTCCTAGACATGGGCAGCAAAGATGTGTCTTATCCCGAGGCACAGATAGGCAGGAGTCGAAAACGAGCTGCAGGGTCGTTTTCTGATGGACCTGGTCTCAGGGCAGAGCCAAGGCCATCGCTTGTCACGACAAGCGGTCGGCCGAAGCATATAAAAAATCGATAGCAGCGCTTGGTGTGGACTGTGGACATACCCAGTAGACCACGTACCAGAGTTAGGGTATCGGCTAAGCCGGAAAAGCCAGAGGAGATTTTGAAGATCTGCAACGCTCATATGAAGAGGGACGACTGGAGTGTGGTCAAAGTAGAGGAGGCGGAAGGGACCACGCGCCAGATCGTCCTAGTCATAAACAAAGAATCTGTGGACGAGGTAGCCAAAAGCGGTGGTCTAGCGAGGTATGGCTACAAGTCAGTAGCCATACGAGTCAACAGAGGACACACCGTGTCTCCGGACGAAGAAGATATCATAGAGGGATATTCCTCTGAGACGTCAGAGTTCGTGAGAGGGCTCGCCACCTTAGGCCAGGATGATGAGGACTCCATCCTCGACGACGCCGAGGCCGACAGAACAGTAGTGGAGATGGATGTAGATGCCCTTGAGGTTTCTACAGATTAATGTCCCCCACTGCAAAGCAGCAACAGCTGCCCTACTGCATCGTCTTAGCAAAGACGATGTCGACGTAGTTCTCATTCAGGAACCTTGGGTTTGCAGAGGTTAGGTTTCTGGATTGAAGATGAATGAGTACAAGCTGATCACAGCAAACAGCACGGCCAAGACCCGAACCTGCATCTTATTCAAGAAAAATATAAATATGTTCTTGCTATCTAATTTTAGCGACGGCGACAACACAGCGGCACGCATAGAGGCTAAGCCAAAGCCTATAAGAATATGCTCCGCCTACATGGCTTATGAGGAAGCCAATCCCCCCCCTCTGTTGACGAGACAGCTCATAGAGGACAGCAGGCAGAGAAATATAGATCTGCTCTTAGGATGCGACGCCAACGCTCATCACACTCAGTGGGGCAGCACTGACACCAACGTACGGCGTAAGTCAATTTTCTACTACATCCTGTCTACTAACACACTGCTCTGTAATGTTGGCTCAGATCCAACGTTTATGATAAGAAATCGAAGCCAGGTTCTTGATCTCACTTTAGCGTCAGACGCACTGTATAACCGCATTTCCAAGTGGAGAGTTCTCTCAGAACACTCTTTCTCGGACCATAGATACATCCAATTCGAGGTATCTCTAAATAGTGATATACCAATCGCGACTAGGAATCTCAGACGCACAAATTGGTCCTCATATTCGAAGCATATCAGTAGGCTACTACCAGACCACCCTCCCCAGGGTCCAGATTCAGTCGAGTTCACTTCGACCCTAATTAATAAGTTCACGGCAACCCCCAAAGATTTTAGACCCATAAGTCTCTCATCTTTCCTAGTAGAGACCTTCGAGAGACCTCTAGGCCTCCATTTAAGAAGCATGATTTCGCTCTCAGAGCTGTCAAGCTCTCAACATGCCTACTGTAAAGGCAGATCCACAGCAACAATGTGTCCCCAAACGCAATTACCAGCTCACTTACAGACCGGGGTGTGGACGACTCCACTGTGGAACTGGTAAGACAGCTTCTCACCAGCCGGTCTATCAAATCCATACTGGGGCTGTCCACAATATCCAGATATGTCATATATGGGTAAATTCCCCCAAACTCTGTGTGAGCGCATGACCGATGCACTGAGCATACTGTTTACTTGGGCGACGTCGAGTGGCCTAAACGTAAACCCCAGCAAAACAGAGATTGTGCTATTCACTAGGAAATATAAAATTCTTCCTCTTCACCCCCCCATCAATGAATGGGGTACCTTTAACCTTCAGCAGTTCAGCCAAATATCTAGGCTGACCTGAATATCGAAGATAGAGTGAGGAAAGCAACAATCGCACTCTACACCTGTAGGAAAGCCATTGGACTGAAATGGGGCATGGCCCCCTACGTGGTCCATTGGCTGTATACCGCAATTATCAGACCCATACTCCTATATGGAGTCTCTATATGGTGGCCATCGCTTACGAGAAATTCGTCTCTTCAGAGACTAAATAAAGTTCAACGGCAAGCTGAACTAACGATCTCTGATGCACTCCGCACCACCCCCAGCGACGCACTAGATGCGATTCTGGGAATACTCCCAATACATCTCATGGGGAAAATGAAAGCCACGCTGGCGGCCCTTCGCATGAGAGAAACCAACCAATGGTCAGAGAAATGTGTTGGTCACGCCAAAATCCTGAGAGGAAATGACATAATCCCCTCTGTCACTGACTATTGTACTCCAAAGGAGTACCTCCATACTCCCTTTTGATTAATCATTCCTTCCAGGGATGAATCGAATGTTGGCCATCCAGGCCCCGAAAACTCAATAAAAATATATACAGACGGTTCTAAGCTGGACAATCGCGGAGGTGTCTTCTGCGAAGAACTCGGCATCAGAAAAACCTTCAGGCTCCCGGATCACTGCAGTGTATTCCAGGCCGAAATCACAGCTATTCAAGAAGCTCTCTTCATACTGCCAAGCGCAGTCACAGACATTAGAGAAATCTGCATATATTCGGATAGCGAAGCGGCAATAAAATCCCTAGACAACATCACATCGAACTCGATGTCAGTACAGACCTGTCGCAAATCTCTTCACTAGATAGCAGCACAGTTCTCAGTCTACCTCATTTGGGTCCCAGGCCATCGGGACATAGAGGGAAACTGCATAGCTGACGAACTGGCAAGAGATGGCCAGCTGTAAACTCATCCCCGATAGGAAACGGACTTTAGAACTCTGTAAGCTGATCAGAAGCCAATTCTCGGCTGGCTGGTGGGCTCCCATGCCGCTAGTCTAGGACTTCAACACAACGACTTCTGTAGAAGATGTAGAGACGAAGAAGAGGGGGAAACCGTTTTCCACCTCTTCTGCGACTGCCCAGCCTTGTTTAGGACCAGACAACGCTTTCTAGGAGATGGCTTCCTCCCAAATTTTGCGCTAGCAAAAATAAAGCCGACAGACATTTCTAAATTCATCCGGGCATCCGGATGGGTGTAACAATTTGCGCAGAAATGCAGCCAACCACGGGGATATGGGAAGCGGACTTGTCCACGCGGTACCACAACGGACCAAATAAACACGGCCTAAGGGAGTCAGGCTGCCGCACCTATCTACCTACCATGAGTGAGGAATCGAGAAAATATACTTCGTTTACGACACCTATGGGACAGTTCGAATGGCTTAGAATGCCATTCGGTCTTAAAAATGCATCAGCAGTATTTCAAAGGTTTGTGAACAAAATTGTTTCGGATATGATTCGGACAGATACATTATTGATTTATATGGACGATATATTAATAGCAACAGAGGACAGAGAAACTCATATGGATGTTTTAAAGGAGGTATTCCAGCGATTAGTAGTAAATAAGTTAGAGCTAAGGTTGGACAAGTGCGAGACCACGATCACGAGAGTATTAAGAAATTATAGATATGTGCTAGAAGATGTTGATGGTTTCCAACAAACACGACTCCCTTATAAAGGAGTATGGGCAGTTGCAAATATGAAGCCATGGCTAGGTAACAACAAAACGAAAGAAAACGAAAAGGCTGGAGGAGTTCACTCCAGGAGTTCAGGAGCCTCCAGTCAGCATAGGCCGAATTGTAGTAAGCAAAGTAGAATATAAGCAACATTTATATATTAGCCATAAGCAACATCTTAATCATAAGCAACATGCATATATCATAATGCAACACATGACATAGAATAAACTAGACATAAGGAAAAGTGTAAAATAAAGTCAGTCGGCTTATGAAACGCAAAAGGTGCGCATGTGTCCCGCTGGCTACAGTATGTACATATGTGGGCATTACATAATTATATCAAATCAGCAACAAATACTGCTGTGGACACAGCTTGGGCCTGGTTATATGGCTATAACTTTCTAATAAAAATAAAACAGACAAAATGAACAAACTAGTCCTTTCTCGGGCTTAGGAGAATATGGATACCAAGTTTGGTTATTCTAGCTCTTATACTTTCTGAGATCCTTGCGTTCCTTTGCGTGGCAGACCCCACAAAGTATATATATTCTTGATCAGCATGACAAGACAAGCCGATCGGGTGTCCCGACTTTGAAATATTCTGTACATATGTGTAGAATAATTATGTGTGTGTCTGTGTATGTCCCGTGTGCCTGTGCAAAGCAGTAACAACAACAACAGGTGCGGGCACTGCTTGGTCATATATACGTATGTGGGTGTAACTTCATGTTAAATCAGTCTATCATTATGAAACTTGGCATACGGATTCATAATCACTAACTTAATGTATTTTCCGAAATGAAAAAATCCAAGAAACACCGGAAGTTTTGGAAAACCAGTGGTTGAAGGGGAGAGGGGGAAGGAAGGGAAATTCAAAAATACACATTTTCTGCGTATTCACATAAGGCATCATGGACTAAAATATGGTGATATGGTCTCCGAGATATAGGTGATTATACGAACGGCGTTTCCGAAAATTCCCCATACGGGGGAAGTGGGGGTGAAAAAAAAAACAAACTTGCGTACACACAAAAGGTATCTTTGTGCAAAATTTCGTGTCTCTAGCTCTTATAGTCTCTGAGATCCAGGTGTTCATACGGACAGACACACAGACAGACATACAGACGGACATACAGGAAGACAGACATACTCTTGTACATTTCTTGTACAGAGTATATAAGTGTTTGATTTGATAATATCCAACTATATGATTTTAATATATTGTACTCACGTCTAAAGTGGGTTGCGAGTTTACGTAAGAGGAAAGTTTAGCTGCTTGAAATAGATTTTCATTTCTAGAATAAAATAAATAAATATTGTAACATTGTAATTACTTTATAAGCCATACTCACTTATCAGGATTATAGCCCTCCTGTTGATCTACAAAAAAGGAATTTATTTTAATAACACAAATTTTAACAATTGATTAAATATACCTATGTTCAGTTGCATGTCTTTTTCATATGTAGCCCAAGCTTCTGCTTTTTCTTGTTCACTTAGTTCTTGTTCTACTTTATTTTCTAATAGACTGTCATGTTCATGGTATTTATAAACAAATTCCGATTGACTAAGTAGTAAGTGGGCCAATATTGTGTCCTTAGGAAGAACTGGCATTATTCTTTCATTTTTCTGCGGTTGTGTTAATCTGAAATGTCAAAAAATCTATATATCAATATATATATAAAAATCGAAGTAAAGTTGCAAATAAAAACTTTAAGGAGTGCTGCAATAGAAAGAAAATGCAATTTAATATTAACTAGAAATGCAGATAAATACCATAAAAGACAGCAAATCTTTTTGGGCTCTAGTTAAAAGACTAAACGGCGGAGTAAAGAACAGGATTATAAAAGCAAATGCATCAGATCTGGCTTTACACTTCTCCACATTACTCTATATCCCATCACTTGACTGCTACTTAACCCTGCAACTCCCAACCATTGCAAATGATTTTTTATATGCGCCAATTCACATGAGGGAAATCAGTTCAGCCATAGGCGAGCCAAGAGGGATCCTAAAATAGCAGGCAATTATAGAGGAATATCTTGTCTTAATGCAGTAGCGAAAGTCTTCACGTCGATTATTTTAGAGAGGCTCACAACATGGGTGACGATCAACAACATGCTACGCGAATTTCAATGTGGCTTCAGAAGCGGATACTCGACGGTGGATAGTGTTTTCGTTGACATTCAGAGCGAAGCTATACTTGGACAGAAAACAAAAACTATATCTTTGTTTTGTGGATTTCAAATCTGCTTTCGATACCATACACAGAACAAACCTCCTTTTGAAGCTTCATCAACTTGGAGTATCTTCCAAAATTCTCGAAATCATTTGCAATCTGTACAGATAAAATCTAGTTGTTGTCTGGGACGGAACGGAGTTATCAAACTGCTTTTGCAACAACACTGGCGTAAAACAAGGATGCTTACTGAGCTCCCTACTCTTTTCTTTATACATCGACGACATCGCAAAGATCCTTCCCAGAGGTATATCTTTGGGAAACTACAACTATCAAGGTCTTGATGTATGCAGATGACATGGTGTTTTTGGCAGAAACGCGCCAGCAACTGAAGGAGATGATAAATGCTCTCTACGTTTACTGTGAAAAATGGAACCTATAAGGTGATGGTTATCCGAGATGGAAGAGGTCGTCCAGTGAACGAAAGTTGGATTAAATGGGGAGACGTTAGAGATAATTAAAGAGTTTAAATATCTAGGAGTAACGGTAACTCAAAATCTAAACTTCTCTGCGCACCTTAAATTAAAACTCTCGGACTCCATAAAAGCCTTAAACAGTACTTGGCAGTCGTTCCTTGGTAAACGAGAAATACTTCCAAGTATAAAGTTCACATTATTTAGAGCTACGGTGCGGTCTATTATGCTTTATGCAGCACAAATATGGAGACACCAGTACTATGAAGAAGTCGAAAAACTGCAGCGTTTCTTTACAAAGAAAATATTTAATTTTTAAAGCTCGCATCGAAACGTTGCCATTAAACTATTCGCCTCATATTTCAAACGGAATATGTGACCTGTGCAATCTCGAAGCCACAGAAAATGTCATACACTTCATCGGCACCTGTCCAATTCTGAGCGAGGTTAGATTTCAACATTTACAGAAAAGTCGTATGAATTCAGAACAGACCATGGATCTCCTGAACGGAACAAATTGGACTGCATTAGTAAAATATCTAAAACATGGGCTTAGATATAGGGAGCATATACAGCTAGGTGATTTTTATACCCTGTACCCGTAGGGTAAAAAGGGTATATTAGGTTTGTGCAAAGTATGTAACATACAGAAGGAAGCATCTCCGACCCCATAAAGTATATATATTCTTGATTAGCATGACGAGAGAAATCGATCTAGACACGTCCGTCCGTCTGTCCGTCCGTCTCGATGAACGCGAGGACCTCAGAAACTATAAAAGCTAGAATAACCAAAGTTGGCATCCAGATTCTCCCAGGTCCGAGAAAGGACGAGTTTATTTTATTTTTTTTAATTTTCCCCCCCTTCCCCCGCTGCAGAATTTCGTCAATAGCGTCCACATTTCAAATGCTACCTACTTTGCACACATAATTTAACTGTTGTTCAAAATTGTATTCAATTCGATCAATTCTAAGAAAAGTTATTAGCGAAACAAATTCTCGCCAGTACAACCCCCACAAACTGCAGCAACAAATTCGCTCTTCTTCTTCCTCTTTTTGCTGCTGCTTTGGGCGTATATAACTCAGTGACGGAAGTTTACCTGGGTACAGGGTATTACACTGTCGGGCTTGCTCGAATGTAGCGTTCTCTCTTGTTAAATTTAATAAAATTAAAATTAAAGGAACAAATGTATATATATGTATATATTATAAAATAAATATGATTCATATATATAACATAAACATAACTAATAATAATAATAGTAAAATAAAAACAATGACTGACGGCGGTAAATGAATTGTAAATTAAGTATTGCAGTAACACCAACTTCTTATCCGAACTTCACGGCCAACGATCTGGTATCTGGGGAAGACCCGGGCAGCAAGGTGTAGTAACCAATGAAGTTTAGGGTAATATGTTGGTGATCGACATACGGTCTTTTAACCAAGTCGATTAATTTTGAAACATAGCTTTATTTTTTAGCTTAACTATAAAATTAAGAAACATTTTGTTAACGTAATAAATGTGAATATAAAAATAAAGCTACCTACTACTACTACTATAACAAGTAAAAAAGCTAAAGTCAGGTGTCCCGACTTTGAAATACTCTGTACATATGTTTACAATAATTATAGAGAATAAAAAAATTCAGAAAATAAAAAAAAATTTGATCGATTTGACCTCTCTCGGTATTCGAACTCACGTAAATGGTGTATAAATGCACATTTACATAGCAATTGCGTCTGTGTGAGTGTATGTATGCCTATGCGCATCAATTCGTGTCTGTGTAAGCATTTTCGCAGTCAACCAAACAGCAACATCAACAACAGCCGCGGGCAGCGCTTGAGCAGCGCTGCAGCAGCAAAGATTTTTATGACTATAACTTCTTGTTAAATCGGTCTATCATAGTGAAACTTGGCATACGGACACATAATTACTTACTGCGGGTATTTGCCAAGTTCGAAATTCCAAGAATTACGGGAGTTAGAGAAAATCGCGATTTGCGGAGGAGAGGGGGGAGGGAGTGAAATTCCAAAACACACATTTTCTGCGTATTCACATAAGGCATCTGGGACTTAAATTTGGTGTTCTTAGGTCTTATAGTCTCCGATATATAGGCGATAATACGAATGGAAAATCGTGAAAACGCCCATAGGGGGGAAGTGGGGGGGAGGGGGAAATCAAAAAAATAAAACAAACTTGCACAGCGTACACATATAAGGCATCTTTGTGCAAAATTTGGTGTCTCTAGCTCTTATAGTCTCTGAGATCCAGGTGTTCATACGGACAGACAGACAGACAGGGCTTGATCGACTCGCCTTTTCACGCTGATCAAGAATATATATACTTTGTGGGGTCTGCCACGCCTTCTTCTGCCTATTACATTTTCAGCTCCCGCAAACCTAATATACTCTTGTACATTTTATGTACCAGTGATTGTGAGGACATAAATGACGATCAACATGTTGACCAATCAAAATTCGTGATCACCGAAAATTCCATCGAAACTGTGCGTGAATTCATCAAAAATCAGCTGAAATCATCATTGAAATTGATGGAAATGGAATTGAACTTCTCCAAAACATCGATTTATCGCATTTTGACCGAACATTTGGGCTTACGAAAGGTGTGTGCACGGTTTGTTTCGCACAAATTGACTGACGACAAAAAATTGCTCAGACGATCGACGCTTGTGACCGATTATTTGACCAAAAATCACATTTTAACCATTAACCACTCGCCGTATTCACCTGATATGGCAACGTGCGACTTCTACCTTTTCGGAAAAATGCATTTGCCCATGAAAGGAAAGCGTTATGCAGACGTAGAGGCTATTCAAAAGGCTTGCACCAGCATACTGGCGGCCATACCGGCCAACGAGCTAAAACACTCGTTCGACATGCTTTTGGATCGTGCAAAAAGCTGTATTGAAGCAGAAGGAGACTATTTTGAATAAAATGAATTGATTTTGCCGAAAAACCATTTGTTCTGTTTTTTTAAAGTCCTGTTTACTGTGGAACCCACCTTGTATTACGATAGACATTAACATAAGGATACACAAACACTAACCGGATGTAGCAATTACTAAATTTACTTATCACAGGGGAATGTGCAGATGGAGGAAAATTCAGAAATACCCGTGTACTGCATGTTCATATAAGGTATCTTGAGCCAACATTTTGTGTCTAGCTCTTAGCTCTGAGATCTAGGTGATTTTCAAATGGCGTTACGCAAATCCCCAATATCGAGGATAGACTTGCACAGGGTACACACATAAGGCATGTGGGTGCATCATTTTGTGTCTCTAGCTCTAGATCCAGGTGTTCATACTAAGTAGTATACTCCTTTACTCTTTGGGTGTAGTGTATAAAAAAAATAACAGATACTACTGAGCAAACGCATGCACAACAAGTAAGAAAGCTAAAGTCGGATGTCCCGACTTTGAAATACTCTGTACATATGTTTACAATAATTATAGAAAATAAAAAAAAAAATAAAAAAAAAATTGGATCGATTTTACCTCTCTCGGTATTCGAACTCACGTAAAGGGTGTATAAATGCACATTTACATAGCAATTGCGTCTGTGTGAGTGTATGTATTCCTATGCGCATCAATTCGTGTCTGTGGAAGCATTTTCGCAGTCAACCAAACAGCAACATCAACAACAGCCAAGGGCAACGCTTGAGCGCTGCAGCAGCAAATATATTTATGGCTATAACTTCTTGGTAATCGGTCTATCATAGTGAAACTTGGCATACGGACACATAATTACTAACTGGGGGTATTTGCAAAATTTTAGTTCGAAATTCCAAGAGGGGGGAGGGAGGGAAATTCCAAAACATTCATTTTCTGCGTATTCACACAAGGCATCTTGGACTAACATTTGGTGTTCCTAGGTCTTATAGTCTCCGAGATATAGGCGATTATACGAATGGAAAATCGGGAAACCCCCCTTGGGGGGAAGTGGGGGGAAATCAAACAAAATAAAACAAACTCGTATAGAATACACACATAACGCATCTTTGTGCAAAATTTGGTGTCTCTATCTCTTATAGTCTCTGAGATCCAGGTGTTCATACGGACGGACAGACGGACAGACAGACAGGGCTAGATCGACTCGTCTCGTCATGCTGATCAAGAATATATATACTTTGTGGGGTCTGCCACGCCTCCTTCTGCCTGTTACATTTTTCAGCTCCCGCAAACCTAATATACTCTTGTACATTTCATGTACAGAGTATAACAAGAGAGAACGCTACAGCCGAGCAAGCCCGACAGTGAAATACCCTGTACCCAGGTAAACTTCCGACACTGAGGTATATGCGCCTCTAGCAGAAGCAAAAGGAAGAAAAAGAGCGAACTTGATGCAGCATATAGTGGGCGTAGTACCAGAGTGAAATTGTTTCGCAAATAACTTTTCTTAATATTAACCGATTTAGATGAAATTTAAAAGAAAAGTAGATTATTATAATTATTATAGTATAAAATATGTGTGCAAAGTTTGGTTAATGTAATTTTAGAAATATGAACGGTATTGACGATATTCTGTAGCGGGGGATGGGGGGAAAATTCAAAAAAATAAAATAAACTCGTCCTTTCTCGGACTTTCAGCTTTGATAGTTTCTGAGATCCTTGCGTTTATCCAGACAGGGGGACGGGCAGACGGACATATAATGTGTGGTTTTCATGATTATGGTGTTTTTAATCTTAAATATGTCATTTTCAGTGAAGGGTATAGAAATAAAACGAATAGGTTTTAATTGATCGGTATATTTTGATTTCTCAACGGATACAGTCTGTTTACTCTCAATGGAAAAGGTGTACGTGTTGTTGCCCGTAATATTCACAAAATTGACAATTTGTCAAGAATTAGCCGAAAGCAATTTAGTTTTACATAGATACAAAAATTATTTTATTACTCAATCGGTCAATACAAACTTACGTGTAAAGCTCAGCCAACTCCGCCATATTATAATGCCTGTCAATTTGCTGTTCATCTACGACGCGAAAACTCATGGCTTGCTTTGTGACTGACCTTGAATAAACTTTCTCCTCCATTGTGCCCTTTTTTATATTAGAAAGAATATTATAAATACACATTTAATATTCGAATTTATATTACATACCATGGCAATTAAACGGTATATATAGCAGTTCCTTTTTTGGCCCAAACGAAATATACGAAAGATGTTTTGTTGGTCATTTGATGGGTTCCATGACGTATCCAAAATGATAACTCTATTTGCTCCAATTAGGTTGATTCCTTGACCCCCTGCCTTAGCAGATATTAGAAAAACACGAGCACGTTTGTTTGCTTCACTGTTAAATCTTTTTATCATTTCATGCCTTATGTTTTTAGGTGTTTTTCCATCTAATCTGTAGTAATCTTGGCCACTTATCCAAATATTGGACATTTTTTGGGCTGTTGAAATATCTAGAAAAAATAAAAACATGAAAGGAATGCTATAGTCGAGCGCGATAAACTAATAAATAGCCTGTAATCACTTCTATAAAAAAATGATTTAATGTTTTTATACCCTGTACACCCGATGAATTCCTATAGCCATCTATATGAACGGATCTCAGAAAGTGTAACAACCTAAGCCCAAGGAAGGACAAGTTTGTGTTTTTTAAATAAAAATAACGTAAAAATCACAATACTAACAATAATACATTTACATTCAGTAGGCAACATTTATGTTCTAGTTATAACGATTGTTGGAGCTGACATATAGTATAAAGTAGTTAACATTGTTAGTATAGAAACTTATGATAAGCGCGCTTGCATGCGCTCGTACTTAATGTAAGTTAGTTCTCTTAAGTTTGAACACTTATACTAATACGAAATATGTTCGGCTTAGAAGTGCGCCGGCTTACGCGTTAAATTTAGTTCCCAAAGGGTAAAAGGCAATTCTAGTTTTGTGGGAGTGTACATTGAACACACAGAAGGAGGCGTGGCAGACCCCACAAAGTATATATATGACAAGCCGCGTCGATATAGTCATGTCCGTCTGTCTGTCTGTATAAAGAAATTATGAAGAATGTTATAGCCATAAATAAAATCGCTGCCCATGCTCACCCTGCAGCTCTGCCTGTAGCTGTTGTTGTTGCTGCTTTGGTGCATACATGCCCGCATATAAGCCTGGAGAGACTCGATTCTGTTGAAAATTTATTATATGTGTTGATGTTTTATATTTAATTTAATTAATTAATTAAATTAATTAACTTTTTTTAAATAATTTTTTTTTTAATTTTTTGTGGAACTAAACTTTCATGAAACTTTGGTTATTCTAGCTTTTATAGTTTCTGAGATCCTTGCGTTCATCCAGACGGACGGACAGACGGACGGACAGACGGACGGACGGACGGACAGACGGACGGACGGACGGACATGTCTAGATCGATTTCTCTCGTCATGCTGATTCAGTATATATATTTTATGGGGTCGGAGATGCTTCCTTCTGCATGTTACATACTTTGCACAAACCTAATATACCCTTTTTACCCTACGGGTGCAGGGTATAATGAATGGCAAGGAATGTTTTATATAAATTCCAAGTAAGAATTGTTTAATATGTGGTTTTTTCAAATCGTCAGTTAAACTAGATCCTGAAAGACATGCTGCATATTTGCAAAGCAAAATGGGACATCCCCATCTAGGTTATTCGGAAGCAGGTTCAAGGCTAATTTGATAGTTGTGATGAAAACAAGCGATGACAACGATAACTCACAACTTAATTTATTTTCATACTCATTAAATATTAAAGATTTTTAACAATGAATAATTTGAAATAATTTTGAAATTTTATATTTGTTTTTTTCTCTAATATACTTGTATTATAGTGATATAAATTTAAATAATATTTTGTGTTAATTTTGAGATGCAGTTCATTAAAACTTAAATCTGAGAACTTAAGCTTAAAAAAATGACTAATCCACGACTTTTTCTTATATGGGCGGCATGAGTGGGCGTGACCCGATCTGTTTCAAAGTTTAAACAGTAACTATATACACTATTACTAAGAAGTGTACGAAGTTTCAACTCTCTAACTTAAGAATTAGACTTTATGCCAAAAAATCAGGCTTTCCGTCTAGTGTGTAGTGTTAATGAACTTTCGGATATATAAGATAGTATTAGTGTGTGATATTAAAGAGATGTTCTTACAGATACTAGTTCGCCAAGAAGACCGGCATGCTCAAAGAATCCTATGGCGGGGATCAGATCGAAATAGAAAACCAGATGTTTGTGAGATTCAAGTCCTTTTCTTCGGTGCTAAATGTAGCATAGCTCAACAGATCGAACTTGCTCTAAATTTTGAAATCCAATTCCTAAAGACGTGTAATCACATAGTGAACAATCATTCAATTGCATATTTTTTGTGACGCCTAAAAATCTGCATATGCCAACAAAATTTTCTTTGAAAGTTTCCCCATTGAAACTGTTTATTCGCACACGTGCGGTAGTGCGAATCGGCAGGACGATTGTGGTCCTGACGAGTTAAGCTAAAGGACGCTTATTGTCCTTCTGTTGATCAAGGCGGGATCCTAGTGGTCCGGCTTGATGTTTGGGTGGACACTCGTGGTCCGTTTAATTAAAGAGCACTTGTGGCCCTGCTGCTTCAAGGGCCCCTTGTGGTCCAATAGGTGCGAGTAACACCGGTCGTCCTGGTTGCGCTTGGGTGAAACGACGCAGGACGTTTGTAGTGGCCAAGGATACCGGATGGCAATCCTTGGGAGCATGTAGTCAACGTGGTAGTCGGCGTGATACAGATCAGCGGTTCCTGACCCAAAGTAACAGGCCGTTCGTTGATAATTAGCATACTGATTTTATTCTTACAATTCATGGCTTATATAGCCATGCTTAAAACTAGCTTATGACTACTTACTTGTACATTTACTATTTCTATGTGTTGGCGCTTTCGCAATAATGATGCCCAAGCATATATTATGAGGTTACGTATGCTGGTGTCAGCCCAATTTGGTTCCTAAAGTATGACCTGATTGTTGGTCACATGCTGAGGTAGCAGAATAATATGTGTCTTATTCTTGCTTATTATTGCTTATGTTGGCTGGCCAGTGTCAATGCACCTGTAATTCGTGTGCGCGAGTAGACTATGGTGCCAATATTATCTATGCTAAAACAAGATAGAACGCTACAGTCGAGCAAGCCCGACAGTAAAATAGCCTGTACTCTCCACAAAAAATTAAAAAAAAAAATTAAAAAAAAATTAAATTATTAAAAAAAATGAATGAATTAATTAATTTAAATAATTAATTAAATTAAATTAGAATACATGTTTATGTTCAGTTTAAACATCATACATTTACATCACGTACCTATGCGTGTTTATATGCGTGTATGTATGCAGCACAAAGTTGAACCAAAGCAGCAACAACAACAACAGCTGCGGGCAGCGCTGCCGACAGAGCTGCAGTCAGCGCATGAGCAGCGATTTTACTTATGACTATAACTTTCTTCAGAATTGACCTATCATGATGAAATTTGGCACACGGACACATTAGTACTAACTGGATGTACCTACCAAAATTGATTTTAAAATTCCGAGAATTACGGAAGTTATAAGAAAAAATACGAATTGCGGGGGAGTGGGGGGGTGTATCAGAAAAAATAAACAAACTCGTTCTGCCTAGGGCTTATAGGAACCTTGATACCAATTTTGGTTATCCTAGCTCTTGTACTTACTGAGATCCTTGCGCTCATACAGACAGACGGACAGACGGTCAGACGGACAGACGGACATGGCTATATCGACTCGTCTTCTCATCCTGATCAAGAATATATATACTTTGTGGGGTCTGCCACGCCTAATTCTGTGTGTTACATACATGCGCACAAAACTAGTATAGCCTTTCACCCTTTGGGTACAGGCTATAACAATATGGGTGTACAGGTTTATGCGTACTTATATGTATGATATGTGCTGCCAAGCTATTTTATTGAATGTATGTTTGCGTCGCGTTGATGAGATGTAATATACTCATTCGTGTCGCAACAGAAACTAATGTCCAAACCTCGACTAGAACTGCATGGAGCGTTTATACGAGTTCGTTTAGGCAAATCATTAAAGGACATGTTGGATCTGAATACTAATATTGTATTGGGTCAGATCCAGCAGTAAACGATTTAAAGTATTTTAATACAAAGACTTGGAGAAATTTAGGAGCTAACAAATGTAGGAGATTTGAGGCATGTTGCTATCAAATTGTATCCAGCAGACCAGGCAACTAAAATTTCCAAATTTGGTTATACCAACAATGATATTTGGCCCTTTTTATACAGGACTCCTTCTGAATAGCCAAATAGGAAAATAAATAAAGACAATTAGAAAATATAACAGAAAACGTAGAATTCGATCAAGAATACGTACTTTCGATAACAGAATTGTCAAATACGATTTAAATATAATATAAATAAAGTTTTTAATGAAGTATGCGAAGTATATTTTGAATAATGAGAGCGAGATTTGGTCGATCGAACCGGATTCATACTAAAATTACAGGTACGTAACAACAGTATGGAATAAGTTAATAATCAGATTTGTGATTGCGCTTATACAGATATTAGTAATAGTTTACCACGTACGTAAAGCAACAAATAAATATAGCAACTAATTTCGAAATATTACCATGCGAAATTAATAGATATTTTTCTGTAAAAGAATTTTTCTCATTATTAATATAATACTTACGAATTTGTTGTAATACTTCAGGATCGGAATCCGTTATTTTTTTAAAAAAATACTCGACCACGTTCAGTACTGCGACAAAAGCTGAAAAGATTAAACTGGAAACACAAATGTCATATTTATTTTGAAATTGGACATGTAATTTTACGTACGCATTGTTGTGTTTGTTATACAGAAGAACACAGAACACACAGAAGCAGACTACATAAATTCTTGACTAGCATTACAAGACGAATCGGTATAGCCATTTTCGTCCACCTATCTATCTGTCCGTATGAGCGCAAGGATCTCGAAACTTGGTATCCACATTTTCTTTAGTACAAGAAGAGTTCGCGAACTCTCTCACTAAAATAGATTTTACACAGCTCCGTCCATCTGTAATAACTGGGAAAGTATAAAAGCTACAATACCAAAACTTCGTATCTAGACACTCCCCCGCTATTAGAATCAGAATCATGTGTATGCGTGCTTGTATGCAGGAAAGATATTAATCAAAGCAGCAACAACAACAACAACAGCTGCGGGCAGAGCTTCGGTAGAGATTATATTTGTGACTATAAATTTCTTCATAATGGACCTATCATGATGAAACTTGGTATACGGACACATAGCCATAACTGTTACATCCTGTTACATCTACCAAATTTGACTTCAAAATTCCAAGAATTACGGTTATAAAAAAACACAAATAGCATCAGAATAAAACAAGTAAAAAAGCTAAAGTCGGCTGGCCCGACTTTTAAATACTCTGTACATATGTTTAGAATAATTATAGAAATTTAAAAAAATTAAGAAAATTAAAAAAAAAATGTTGATCGATCTTACCTCTTGCGGTATTGGAACTCACATATACAAAGCAATTTCGTCTATCTGAGTGTATGTATGTTTATGCGCGTCTACTCGGGTCTGTGTAAGCATGTTTCCTGTCAACCAAAGCGTTAAGCAGCGCTTGGGCAGCGCGTGGGCAGCAAATATATTTATGGCTATAACTTCTTGTTAAATCGGTCTATCATAGTGAAACTTGGCAAACGGACACATAATAATTAACTGGGAGTATGTCCCAAATTTCAAAATTCCAAGAATTACGGGAGTTATGATTTGCTGGGGGGGGAGGGAGGTAAATTCCAAAATACACATTTTCTGCATATTCACAAATGAATCTAGGACTAAAATTTGGTGTTCCTAGGTCTTATAGTCTCCGAGATATAGGCGATAATACGGATGGAAAATCGGAAAAACGCCCATAGGGGGGGAAGTAGGGAGGAAAATCAAAAAAATATAACAAATTTGCACAGCGTACACACATAAGCCATTTTTGTATAAAATTTGGTGTCTCTAGCTCCTATAGTCTCTGAGATCCAGGTGTTCATACGGACAGATAGACAGACGAACAGGGCTAGATCGCCTTGTCTTGTCATGCTGATTAAGAATATATATACTTTGTGGGGTCTGCAGCTCTTCAGCTCGCGCAAACCTAATATACTCTTGCACATTTCATGTACAGAGCATAAAAAATAAACTTGACCTGCCTAGGGCTCAGTGGAGCCTGTATACTAAGTTTGGTAACTCTAGCTCTTATACCTTCTGAGATCCTTGCTCTCATCCAGACGGGCGGACGGACAGACAGACGAACATGGCTATATCGACTCGGCTTGTCACATATATTCGCACAAAACTAGTATAGCCTTTTACCCTTAGGGTACAGGCTATAAAAAGTAAGAGAGTAAAGAAAAAATGTTGATCGATTTCACCTCTCTCGGTATTTGAACTCAGGTAAAGGGTGTATAATTGCACATTTACAAAGGAATTGCATCTTTGTAAGTGTATGCATGTGTATGCGTGTCTATTCGTATCTGACTGAGCATGTTTGCAGTCAACCAGAGCACCAACATCAACAACACCTGCGGCAGCGCTTGCAATTATAGTGAATAGTGGCATACGGACACATAATTACTAAATGGGGGTATTTGCAAAATTTGAGTTCGAAATTCCAAGAATTATGGGAGTTAGAGAAAATCATGATTTGCGGGGGAGAGGCTGGGCGCAGGGGAATTCCAAAATACGCATTTTCTGCGTATTCACATAATGCATCTTGGACTTCAAATTTGATGTCCCTAGGTCTTATAGACTTCGAGGTATAGGCGTTCGCACGGGACAAAAACAGAAGTCGCTATCTCGACGAACAGATCAAACACTGGTTTCAGCGAAACTAGAAGAACGGCGCCCTTTACGCGACTAGTCAACAATTTAATTTTATATATATGCATCAAATATGTTTAATGTCAAAAAAAAAAAAAATAATTTCGAAAAAAGTTTTTTTATTTTGTACAATTTACACTATCGATGTCGCACGCAACAAACTTTAACAAGTAAATAAATTATAGTTTAAAAACCTAAAAAAAAAACACGCTTAAATGGCAAACCGAACTAAAAAGTAGAAAATAATTTTAAGTATCCAGAGCTTGTGTTACAGAAATAGAAAATTCCAACAATCAATTACTACTAATTAATTGGGAATAAGATTAAAATAAAAATTAAATTATTAATAAAATAATTCATTTATAGTAAAACTAGCACGTCTTGCCCGTCTTTGCTGGGCTAAGTAAAATGTGCTTATAATTAAAAGTTTATTTACTATATGATATTCTTCTTTCGACACTCTCTAAAGTTTTTTAAAGAGTTCATTCATCGAACCTTTCAAAATGCAAATAGTACAATAAGTACTATATATGGTACATACATAAATATATACATATGTATCTTCGTTACGCACCGGATTGACTCCCAGTACTGACTTAACTGTGTGCTTCCTCAGCACGTTGTACGCACGGTCGAGTTATCCCCGAAAAGTCCGACGCGGTACATTTAATTTTGATTTATATATCGGGACGTCCCGCCAAAATTGGAGCGCTCGGCAACGCTGATATGTACATACATTTAAATTTTTCATGCAGGCGTTATCCGCCTATATACATACATACATCTCTATATATATAAAACAGTTTGTCCTGATTGACTGACTGACTGATTGGCAATCAACGCACAGCCCAAACGGTAAGAGCTAGGAAGCTGAAATTTGGACACAAGATCCCTCTTATAGTGAAAGTGAGCACTAAGAACGTTTGTATGAAATATCTACAATTTTTATCCGATTAACGTCAAACTTAGCTTGTATACTCTCACAAAGAATACAAAAAAAAACTGTATACTTGGATTTTCAATATTTTTCCTGCGGCCTGAATAATAATGATTTTCCGGTGGAAAATTCGGTAAACGAAAAGCTATTTGCAATCAACGCACAGCCCAAACGGTAAGAGCTAAAATTGGACACATGATGTCTTCAGTGGTGTAGGTGAGCACTAAGTTTGGTTTTGGTTTTGGAAAATTCGAACGCCAAAGGGGGGAAAACGGGCTCCAACGTTTGTATGAAAAATCTACAATTTTCATCCAATTAACTCCATCCAACCTTAATTGGTATACTCTCAAAAAGAATACAAGAAAAACTGTTAACTTGGTTTTTCACCATTTTTCCTGGGGCATGAAAAAGGGGGGGTTTTCCGTGGAAGAATTGAAACACAATCAACACCCCACAGCCCAAACGGTAAAAGCTAGGAAACTGAAATTTGGGCTCAATTATCCTATCATGGTGTAGATGCGCACTACGAAGGGATTTTGGAAAATTCGAGCTCCAAAGGGGGGAAAAGTAGCTCCAAAGTTTGTTTGAAAATTCTGCATTTCTGAATCGACCAACTTTAAATTTGGTTTTTATAATCTATAAAAGAATACAAACAAAACTGCATACTCGGTTCGAAATTTGTGTTGGAGCTTGAATTATTGGGGTTTTAATATTTATTCACTATTTCAAATGAAAAGTGTGTGTTATAAATTTAGTCCGATCGATTTAAAATTTGGATAATGTAATCTACGTAACTAAATCTACAACTTTGCATTCAAGGATTCTCAAAATATGCATTTTACAAAAGCAGGCAGAACAAACAATACAAAATATCAAACAGTTGGGGACAACTAAGTATACATACACACACACACACACACACATGCAAACAGCTGTTCGTGTAGTTGCGTGCAACATGTGAGACACTAATGTGTGAATGTCCATACATATGTGCACATTTATGTATGTACATATGTATCTACATGTGTATGTTTGTTCATTCGTCTTGCACTGACAGAGCAAGAAATGTTAATTAATTGAAAATTCTATAACATTTTTAAAAGTAATTTTGTGTTTGTTTAGTGCATTTGGCATTAGGGTTTTCATTAATAGCTTTATGCAGCAACAACAAATATCAAATAGTTGGGGACATTACATACACACACTCACACACACAACAAGCAACAGTTCGTGTCTATGTGTGCGGTTCTCTACGTACGGTTGAAAAAGTAAAGAGAAACATACATATGTACATATGTATGTATGCCTTTGTATGAATATAGCATGTATGTACATTCGTATTAATGTATACATTGGGCAATCGAACACAGTTGTTTGATTGTAAAAAAAAAAATAATGCTCTAAAAACAACAACAACTGCAAGTCATTAGCTCGCTCTTCTTCTTTCGTTTTGACCATTTAATGTTAATTGCAAAGGCAAAACGCCAAAAGTTTACAGTTACCGTCGCTAGGCAACGACTGCGTAAGTGATAGTAAAGCAGAAACCGAATATCGGAGCTACGCATATTCTGCTTCGCATTGCGGGCAGATGTATGTATGTATGTATATGATTTGTTCTTATTGATCTCTATAAATAATTCGATTTTATTATTTAAATATTCTGCTTATTGCATTCAAACTTCGATATTTTGATGGTATCGGTGTCAGTGGTTTTTGATCATGGCTTATCGCTGCACGGCATTGACACAAATGCCGTGTTTCATATTCCGAGTTTGTGCGTGGCCGTATTGACTCAATATGACACGAAACGACTCAAATGTGAATTTAAATTTGGACTCAAGCATCCTTTCATAGTATCCATCATAGTGTAGGAGCACACTAAGAAAGGCTTTTGGAAAATTCTAGCTCCAAAGGGGGGGAAACGCGCTTTAAAAAATATTAGTTATAGTGATCATGTTCGTT